ACATATTCCTAGAAAAATACAATCTCCCAAAACTGAATCAGAAAGAGTCAGAAAACCTAAATAAGCCAATAACAACTGATGAAATAGAAGCAGTAATCAAAAACTTCCTGCAAACAAAAGTCTTGCTCTGGACAGCTTTACAGGGGAGTTTTACCAAACCTTCAAAGAACAACTAACACCTATCCTCCTCAAACTATTCCAAAAAATCCAAGAGGAATGAAAAGTTCCAAGGTCTTTTCATGAGTTCAATAAAGAGAACTAATTCCAAAACCAGATAAAGGAACTACAAGGAAATAGAACTATAGTCCAGTATATTGGGTGAACATATATGCTAAAACCTTTAACAAAATATTAGCAAATTGGATCCAGCAATGTATTAAAAAGATCATACTCCATGACCAAATAGGATTTATTATGGGGACGAAGGATATTTGCAAATCAGTAAATGTGATACATCACATAAACAAATTAAAAGGAAAAAAAATCACATGTACATATCAATATACACAGAAAAAAGCATTCAACAAAACCTAACACCTATCTTTTATTAAAAACTCTCAGCAAAGTGGGACTAGAGGGATCATATCTCAACATAATAAAGGTCATATATGACAAACGTATAGTGAACATCATACTCAATAGGCAATAACTAAAACCTTTTCCCCTAAGAACAGGAACAAGTCAGTGATGTCCGATTTCACCACTCTTATTCAACATAGTACTGGAAGTCTTAGCCACAGCGGTCAGACAAGAAGAAAACTAGAAGGAATTCAAATTTGAAAGGAGGAAGTAAAACTGTCATTATTCACAGATGACATAATATTGTACATAGAAAATCCTAAAGACTCCATTAAAACATCTCTAGATTTAATAAATGAATTTAGCAAAGTAGCAGGATACAAAATTAACATCCAGAAATCAATGGCATTTTTGTACACCAATAATGAGCTCTTAGAAAGAAAAACAAAAAAATAAAAATAAAACAATCCCATGTATGATTGCAACAACAACAAAAATAAGATACCTTGTCATAAACTTAACCAAGGAGGTGAAAGACCTGTATTCAGAAAACTACAGGACATAGTAGTTTTAAATGTGCATACTACCCAAAGCAATCTATAGATTCAATGCAATCTCTATTAAAATACCAGTGGTATATCTCACAGATCTAGAACAAATACTCCACAAATTTATATGGAACCAAAAAAGACCTGAAATAGCCACAGCAATCTTGAGAAAGAACAAAGTGGGAGAGATCACAATATTGAATATCAAATTACACTACAAAGCCATTGGAATCAAAATAGGCTGGTACTGGCACAAGAACAAACATATTTTATTCTTTTTAATGCTATTGCAAATGAAATTGTGTTTTTTTAAATTTCCTTTTCAGATAGTTTGCTGTTCATGTATAGAAATGCAATGATTTCTGTATGTTGATATTGCATCCTGAAACTTTACTGATTTTGTTTGTTCTAACAGTGTTTGTTGAGGTCTTTCAGGGTTTCAAAGTATAAGATTATGTCATGTGTAGACAGAGATCATTTTATTTCTTCCTTTCTGTTTTGGATGCCTTTTATCATTATTTATTTATTTATTTATTTATTTATTTATTTATTGCTGAATTACTCTGGCTAAGACTTTCATTACTATGCTGAATAGAAGTAGCAAAAGCAGTCATTTTTGTCTTTTCCCTGACTGTAGAGGAAAAGATTTCAGTTTTTCATCACTGACTATGGCGTTCACTGTAAGTTTTTCATATATTGTGTAGAGATAAGTTTCTCTATGCCTAATTTGTTGAGGGCTTTTATCATGAAAGGGTGTTATTTTTTTTTTTTTGCAGTTGATGTTTATCTTTTTTTTAAAAAAATTTTCTTTATTAAGGTATTACATATGTGTCCTTATCCCCCCACTGCCCCTCCACCCCCCTACTCATGCCCTCACCCCCCAGGTGTCTGTGTCCATTGGTTAGGCTTATATGCATGCATACAAGTCCTTTGGTTGATCTCTTCCCCTTACCCCCACACTCCCCTACCTTCCCTCAAGGGTATTAAATTTGGTCAAATGCTTTTTCTGCATCTGTTAAGATGATCATGGCGTTCCAGTCAAGATGGTAAACTAGGTACTCTCTTCTTCCGACAACCACATCAAAGTTACAACTAAACTACAGAATAACCATCATTCAGAACCAGCTGAAATCTGGCTGAATGAAACTCTGACAACTAGGGAATTAAAGAAGAAGCCACATTAAGACTGGTAGGAAGGGCAGAGTCATGAACAGACTGGTCCCACACCCACACATGGGGAATAAAAGTCAGAAGGAATATCTCAGCTGTGGAGGTCCTCCCTGAGGAGCAAAGGGCCCCAGCCCCACATACAGCCCCCCAGCCCAGGGTTCCAGTGCCAGGAACAGAAGTCTCCATAACTTCAGGCTGTAAAAACCAGCCAGAATTGAGGCTGAATGAGATGGAGACTACTTACCTAATCCCTCCAGAATTTGGCAATTCTTAATCAGTGAGTCATGGCGATATGTTCTTTGCCTGAATTCAATAAGACCAGTTTCCAATTGTGATTTTATTAACCAAGGCTTTGGCTGGAATGTCATGTCTGAGAGAGACATGGATTCTGGACGTCACCAA